GTCGACATTCTCACTCTGTCGGCTGGTTGATGCCACCTGAGGTGTCGAGGGGACAAGGTCATTGATCCTATCTGCTATATCCGCCATCTCTTCAATTGTGGTAGAAGTCTGTCCAGCCAAGACTGTTTGAATGCCGGTAGGTAACCGGCTGACCCAAACCGTCTTCAAAAAGTCGGTTGAGATTTGCGACCCGCCTAAGCTCTCAAGTGCCGAAGAAACTGCGACGGCTTCCTGTCACCCATCTCTTCATGCATCAGCAGCTGCGTCAACTTCTTTTCTTTGGATGCAGTCAGTCTTTTTATCAGCTCCGTTTTCAGTTTTTCAAATTTGTTGGTGGAGGGTGGATTGATAATTAAATCCTTGACCTCCTTGGAGTGCAGGTTTCCGAGCTGACCAATGGCATAATTAAATTTGGTCGAATCATTAGTGATGCCAGCAATGCTAAACTGACCTTCAACTTGGGCAAACCATATCTCTGGTTCCTCTGGCCAAAACGGTGGTATGCGAATTCCGACCTTACATACATGGACAGAAGGTTCATTTCGCAAAATCCGTGCCTCCTGGAATTCGTCTTCGGTGTTGCTCATCTTAGTGCTCCTCGGGGTCACCAATGAAGGGGGAGGGGACGTGGTGTCACCTCCTGTGTGGTAAGGTGTGAATGATGATGATGTGAAGGGTGAGTGCGGCGACAGGTGAAATGAGGCACAGTTTATTATAACTCACAGTCCACAACAAATAGTAAGAAGGAGAGTACAACACTGAGAAGAAGAATACAAGTAGGAGAAAGAGAAATGCACAAATTCGGATAACAAAGTAACAAGTTGCGTAATCGAAAGCGTGGTATGTCGCGGGCGCTGCGGAACTCCACTGTCGTTTCGCGCGTATGCAAAACCGGTCAGTGACCCCCGCTCAGCTGTGCGTTGCAATTCGAATTTGCCAATCAGAGGTCAACAAATCGACGTGACGTCGACCACTCGTCATGCACCCGTGTTTATGTGTGCGTGTATGCGTGTGATGTATGTGCGTGTATGTGTGACTGTGTTGCGTTCTAGGGAATATGTAGGAGGTCACCTACAGTGGTATTGCACCGTGCGAGCCTATACGTACATTAGATGTAGTTATTGCTGACGTCGATTACGTTTAAAACTTTATAATGTTTGAATTTTTTATTTTATGCAAAACCAAACCTATATTTGCATCACTGAATGCTGAGTAATTTCTTTCGCCACTACATATCTTATCTGAGTATTTAAGTCGTGTCCATCGTCACCACCTGTAGCCCAGACGTCCTGATTGATTTACAACTGTGAGATGTAATTCTATATGTATTCTTCCCAGAGTGTCTACGGCTGTACACACTGCATAAAATATTTTGCACTCTGAGTGGTAGCTATCACAAAGTTAAACAGTCAATTTCATTAAATTACCGGCTTTATAACAAGAAATTGCGACAGAGTTTTTTAATAGCACAGAAAGCTTTTAAATGAATATCCACAATGAATGCAACTGGTGAGAATCCGATTACTTTCCAGTATAATTGTTCGGCTCGCGGCTCTGTTACAACTATCTGCCGCAAATCCGCTTCGAATTATTTAATTTTCTTTCACCGCACGAAGGTTGAATCTTCTTTTTACGGACATACAAAAAATAAGTAATGCTTGCTTAGCAATCTAAGTATTCCAAAAAAGGACGATCCAAAAAATAAGTTATTATTTTTTTGCCTCCTTTTCTTTTTTCATCGTGGATAATTTGTCATGGGAAATTTAATTCTCTCTATTCAATTTTTTTATATTATATGTATACTAGCTGTTGCCCGCGACTCCGTCTGCGCGGGATTATAATATAGATAGTAGCCGATTCTCAGACATACAGAATTTGCTCACAAAATTTCATGAGAATCGGTCAAGCCGTTTCGGAGGAGTATGGGAACGAAAATTGTGACACGAGAATTTTATATATAAGATTAAATTGACATTTCGAACTTAAATGTTGGTAACCTATCGTAGTTTTAGTTTTTTTTTAATATTTCGTGAAACAATATTGGAATAAGTAGGAATTTATGGTAGTAACTAAAACAAGAATTTACTTTGCCTTTGTGTCCTAACAAGCTGAATATTAAAGCCGATTGTAAATACATTTCTCCTCACGGGAGCTGCAAGAGCTTACTAAATTAAGATCCTGTTTCGACACAATCCAATAAACTACTGCACAGAATTTAGGATTAAGTTGAGAGACTTCCCAGCGTTATTTAATATACGGACTTGTTTATTATTTTAAAGATATACTGCAGAAATATTATATATTATTAATTATTTTAATTTTAAACGAAAACCAGCTAGAAATTGTTGAATTTAGATAGGTTATATTCAATTAACGTGAACGTTAACGTAAACGAACCCTATTTTGATTCGTTCGTTTTATTGAACCTAATATATGCCAGGTTGAAGTAAAATAAAATTGGATTCGCTTACATTAAGAATCACGTTTGCTTTTGCCTTTTTGTAGTTAGCTGTGAATGTTACCACAATTCTTTTGGAGCGAACTGCAATTAAATTTCACAAATCTTTCGCCTTATTCTTAAAATTTCGCCTTATTTAAAAATAATTATTTGTTTTTATATAATATATAGTTTAAGAAGGTACCATTGATACTGTTTATGAGACACGGAAGAGCGGGACTTCCAATCACAAGCCCGTTATGGTTGCTTAAATGGAAGTCCCGGCACAAATGTTAGTATGTACCATTTTTGTTAAAGTAATAAATCATTTTTCATTTTCATTTTCATTTTCATTCTAAAGGTATGGACAGAATACGTTCTATGTTTATTCATTCTATAATTTATTTTTAAAATGTTATTTTTAATTATTTCCTCTTTTGTGAAGACTTTCATGTGACATGGACAACGTTCTGTTTTCACATTTAGGCGATAAAAGTGGTGCGGCCGCACCGCACTGTTGTGGTTTACGAGGTCGGCAAATAAAGGACACGTGGGTTGTTTTGTTGCTCCACTGATGCAGCACAGTCACTGCATTTGGCCCCTTTGTAATTAAGCTTTGTATGTGCAATGTATTCGTGTGTAGTATTATAAATTTAGCGGTGAGTTTTGTTAAAATATCCGACTAATAGGATAGAATAATGTTTATTGCAATGAATTCATTTTTGAAGAACAAAATGAAATGCTATCTCTTCCTGTCTACTTATATAACGCAATGTATTTGTTCCTCTGTTTCATTTAGTATTTTATTTAACTTGAGAATAGAATTATTGGGTAATCCCAATAATTTCTTCTAAAAAATTATTTCTTTGATGAAATTGGGGCATAGAGCATATAGAGATACATCGAGCAAAGGAAACTTACCCAAACTATTCGGTTAGTTACGTGGCCTTTAAATAAATATGTATCCGAAATGTAGAAAGTTATTGGTGACTTAGCTGACCTGCTCTTTGGCAAATGATCGGAAAGCCGAGGTCAGTGGGTCACCTCAGTTGTTATCGTGATATATTTGGTTGCTGCTATTCCAATTTTCACTTGTTTAATTCTCCAGACAAGTTATTTAAACATCATCAATATTCAATAATTTATAAACCCTAAACAGACCTTTTTAGATACGTATATGCCTTAAATGTATTTACATCTATATGTAAGTACCATGAAATGTAATCTTTCTTAATTAAATTTTCAATAATACTCTTTATATTTGTCATATCTGAACACTAATTACTTACCATATGGCCGCATACGAAGAAAGACGCAGGAACCCGTAGTTGACGAACTTGTATCTAGAAGCACGAGGTGTGACTGGATCACACCAAATGGTAACATGTAACGCCTGTTGTGTCAACATATACTTACATGTTGTTAAATACTTGGAAAGCCTCATCGATGTTTGTATAACGTACTATTCTAAAACTATTCTCATAAGCTCTATAGATGAACAATAAATTTTTTGTAAAAAAAACCTTGTATCTGAATAACTATAAATGGTGTTTTTTTGTCTTTCTTTACTAACAACAGGTACATTGTAAGATATTTTATCATAAAACATATCTCCAGAACGACTGCGTGCATCTTGATGAAATTTGGTTTAGATGTAGATCAGTTATCCCGCGCGAACAGAGTCGGAGGCGTTGTAAAGTGGACTAGTCATTTCGATTGCTAAGCTTTTGGCAACTGCAATAGGCTATATAAATTTGCAGCAAAATTTATACAGTTTGTATTGCAAAAAATATTTGCTACAATGCTTGAATTTAAAAGTTTGGCAACTGTGTCCCGACCACCCTAATGATTTATGAATTAAACTTTTTGTATGGTAGCCAATTGTCCTTGAAGTTTTTTTAAATAAATAAAAAGAAAAAATAACACCTCAATATATGTAGATATCGTATTTAAACATTGGTTTTTCTTCTTTGGATGGTTGGTTTCTTTCTTCTTTTTACCCGTGATCCAAATGAGTATCGTAGACCTTCAAATGTTGGGTAACCAAGTTTCTTTCAATGTTATCTTTCTATCTCCAAAGATTGGAAAGCATCATTTTATTCAATCAAGCTTGACTCACAGGAGCATATTGTCTTATCACGAGTATGAATGTATGTATTTATGTAAGTGTTGTATATTTAAATGAATGAAGCATATGCATTCAAGGTATCTGAATATGAATTTGATAAGACGAGTGAGTTGAATAAGATGACGCATCTTTACAGAGATTTAAGACGCACATATTGACTTGCTCACCTACTAGCATATCAGTAGAGCGGGTGTAGGTCAACTGGTGACATAACTCTGTGTCAGGATGAGGGAGAATGAAAAGTCTATTTTGTGCAAGGTACTTTTACCACGATTTATTACATAAAACAGCGATCGAGGAAATGTATCGGCAGCCTAGAGGCGCGGACGGCGGGCGAGGGCGGGGCGTAGGGGTAGCGGGGGAGAGGGGCAGCGGGGCGCCGCTACCACCGCCCGCCGTCTAGCGCCATCGCGCGGCAAAATAAATAAACATAAATACAACAATCAACTTTTATTTCAATTCATAGAACCATATAAGTTACCAAAGGAAATACTACTCGTACATTTAAAATTAATATGGTTTTATGTTGTTGCGATGTTTAGGGACAATTTGCGTCCAGTGAAAGGGACAAGGAAATAAATAAGGGAGGCGGAGGTGGCGGCGCGGAAGGGCGCGGGGGAGGGCGCGGGTGGGGGTGGGGGTAGGCGATACTACCGCGATGCTCTTACATACAACTCCTTCTTATCACGATACCTTATAATATACCCATATTACATTTTTTACGGAGAAACAAATAAGTATAATATATATAGGTATCATATATTACGTAATTATATGATAATGCGTAATTCAATGTATACGATTTCGAACAAAGATGATGGAATATGAAAGCGCCGTTGAGCGCTGCGATTAACATTAACACGAATTACATTTAATATCATTTTGATATGAAACAGTGCAATTCAAAAGTTCTACCGTCACACCTACACAGCGGTATCCCTCACATGTAAAACTTTGTAGAAAAAACATTTTATTGTTCTCGCTTTTTGTATTCATAAAATACTTTCAAATGCAACAACACCTTAGTCTTAAGTTCATAAACTTTTTTTATTTCAATAAACATTCAATTGACTCATTTATCAACGACAAAAACCTACAAAAATATATAACATTAGCACGAGTCAAGAGTGCAGAGGAAACGTCCAGATGATGCAGTCAGTGCGTGAGACGCTATGAAAACGCGGCGGATACGCGATAGATACGCGATAGAATGCGACGGATACGCAACAGATGGGCGACGGGAGCGCCGCTCGAGGGTCGGTGTGAGGTACGCAGCGCCGATCCATACCAATACATACGCGGGTCCTACTCTTTACGACGCCAAAACACGAGTCTCTTTTATCAACTAAAAAAAATAATATAAACTTTCAAAAACGTTAACAACTACAGCCATAACAAAAATAGACTAATGACAACTACACTACGGAATCTACGTACTACTTAAACTATCCTACTATGTAAGTTTGAAACGAAACTAGTGTTCGCCCACTACGGAAACGACGGTTGTCGCGAGGCGGGGCGCCCGCGGATAAGGGACTGGGCATGCGGTGCCCTTGCGCCCAGCGAGCGGCGGCCTCGGAGGCGTTGAGGCTCGGTACGCGCAAAGGCGGTCGACATCTGCGGGCGCCTCGCGGGCTAATCTCATACGGAGCGGTCCTAAGAAGCGAGCCAGAGCGGGAGACATATAGGCCCCGGACGGGCGGTCGGCGCGCCGCGGCGGATCTCATCGGCCTCGGCGTCGCGTGGCGGGGACGGATGGGGTACAGGCGCGGCCGGCGAACCCTAGGCTGTCAACTCTACCTCATCGTCAGAAATTATACGATAGCATACTTCTGTACGTTGTCACTTTGACCAAGTTTTAATAACTGTTCTTGTCTTTTCTAAACTTGCGATGTTACAGACAGAACACGTAGTACACATAAATAATGAATGTAAGCAAGAAAACACAAATTTAAATAACTGACAGTCTAGGGGTTGTGATCGATTTTATTCGCAGTCAGGAGCAACATAATACGAGTTACGGTTGACAAGGGGGAGATTGCGATTCTCGTGTACGATTGCCTCGCGTCAAGTTCACCAGTGTATCGAGGTGCAATATTATTGACAGTGCAAGGGCCTGATCGCGAGCAAACCGCGGTGTCCGGGGCGTTGTGGGGACCTACTAAAACTACCTATATACAGACGCAGCCACTACACTTGCGCATGCGTACGCGAGCCACTTGAGCAAACTAGCGCGCGACCACGGCCGCACGCGACCGGTGCCGGTACAATATAAATATTCAACAACTTTAACTTAACGACGACCCGCGCCTGGAGCGATACGGCGGCCCGACAGCGCATCGGCTGCGGGACGACCGCGAGGCTCGGGGCGCGGCGCGACGCGCGCTGGGACGGGGACACTAAAACACCCTTTCCAAACAACGATTTCCCATAAATTTTGTTGGTCCGTACGTCGTTGACTAACCCTGTAGAGTATCGAACCGAGTCCGAGGAAGGAATTAGAGACGACGATAGAACAGACTTCGAAGCGGAACTTTGGTTAAGATTCACTTATGACACTAATAAATAAAACTTACGGTAACTGCAATATCGATTATTACTATTATAGTAGCGGTGTAACATCAAACAGAGCCACATCACCGATTCCAATCTCCTAATGATTACGTATATATTAATTATAACAAGAATCCTATACATTAACTATGTAAAGAACAACGATCACATGCATAATATAGTTTGCAACAGAAATATAAAACACTGAGGTTGTCATTAGCGAGGTGGCCCGAAAGAGAAGAAAACAAAGTACAGGAAGATATAGAAGAGAGGGATGGGAATAGACTTGTGTGTGATGATGGATGTGGTACCGAAGGGAAAGGGAGTAAGAGATGCACCAAAGTCACAGTTATAAAGTCCATAAGTCTCATACATCTAACGGTTATACGTCAATAAAATACATTTAAACCAAATATTTAAAAAGCTTCACACAGATGTTGCTGATGTGCCCGTAGCCGGCAGCGGCGTCGCCCGCGACCTGCAAATAAATTATATTGTTACACTACGCACCAAAATTATTAATACAAAGTGTGACACTACCAATATCACCATAGAAGTATTAGTACTCAATGAAGTAGGAATGAGTTGCGTTAATTTTTCTTATCCTTCCTAATGAAGAATTTTATAAAAAAAATACGCTATCAATTCGGCTCGTGTTGAAATGACCACCACAAATTTAAGTTTTTGAACTAATATTATTGATAAACAAAAACATTTTGAGAACTAATGTTTTACATGTTAGGGAAAACAGAGGTCAACATTTTTTGGACAAAATGAGGCTGATGGATTCCCTTTTTAGGCGAAACATACTTTTTTTTGTACCTCAAAGAGTTAAGGGTCCACGGGTGAATAAATAACAACTCTGGATTGGATTGTACTCACTGATCGTGTGGCGTGTTTGTGCAATATGGGGTGGTGGGGTCGCGGGTCTACACGTCCGCGTACTTGGACAGCTTCTCGCGGAGGATATGGTTCTCCTTCTTCAGCAGTTCCACTTCTTGTCGTAACCCCATATTCTGTAACATTATTACAATCTCTCTTAATTATGATATTCCTTATAACATGACATCACAAGTAAACAGTACAATGGGTAAAATAAGTAATATAAAATATAATTAATTATACGTCTTTGTTAAGCTTGTTATATCTTCTTATATGCCCCAGCGCATGTAGATACATGCGCTGGGGCATATTTTCCCGCAATATTTGAATGGCGGTCTCGAATCTACGTAATCAGGGGTATTGTTACGGAGATAGGTTACCTTCTGTTTGATATTGAAACCAGGCGTTTGGTCGCGGGTAAAAACTTAGTCTCACCTCCTTCTCGAGATAACCGGCGCGCAGGGCGATCTGGTTCTCTTTCATGCGGCGCGCGTCGCGGGAGCGCTTGGCGGCCATGTTGTTCTTTCGCCGGCGGGCCCAGTACTTGTCATCTTTCAGGTCATCGGGCACGAACTGCCGACGACGTCGATATGGGGTTAACACGCCGCTCCACATACTCATACCACCCTTCACCCACCAGTGGAACATAACACGCGAGTTACGACGGAGCCGGGGAGGGGGGAGCTCACCCCCCACTCACCAGATCCGTTGCGACGCCTGCGCGCAAACGCGAAACAAAACAAACTCACCTATGCAGGTACAGTCAAAGCATTACATTCACTTCCCACTTTGGATCGTACAGAAAGCTATCATATTAAGAGCTACAATTAGCAAAAGTCTCATAGCATCGTGAGCGTGAAACGACATTCCACCGAAATGGGTATGAAATAAACGTCCTCGACTGCATATAACGTAGCCATCTCAAATTGAAATATTGTGGAACGCTTTACTATATCGAGTTCAATGTTCGAGTTTGCGTGCTCCAGTAATTGTAAACCACTGTAAAAATGTTATAAATAAGCGTAACATAAAAATATTGATATTCTGACAAACAATTTCTGCAACAATTTCCATCTCGTAAATAAAAAGTGTAGTTTTTTTTTCTCTAAATGCAATTATGATAAAAAATCATAAGACCAATTATTTGCAATGCAAATTCATCTATAATACATGTCATCCATTTAATTGTAATTAACTTGATAGATAAACAAAGACTGACTCGAGGCGATTAACTTCAATAGATTTATTAGAAAAAATTTCATTAAATTCTATACAACACAACTCACGCACGTAACCCAGCGGGGCAGGAAGAAACCACGGACCTTCATTTAACGCGATCCAATTCCTACATTCATACACCTTCACATACATGCGCCCGGTTTTGGCTGCTTTTAATACCACACTTCTCAGTATTTAACTTTTACTTTCGATGGAATTCTTTACCATAATATCCAATTCACTGAACCTCAAGTGAAAGTAGATCCAGTATTTCGACCTAAATTCTTTAACAAATACTTCACCAATCTTTTCATATCCTTTATAACGAAGCAATCAAGTCAGCAACAATTAGCACAGACGTGTTAATAACAATTTTTAAAAAAGGAAATGTATTGGACCATACAGTATTTATATCTTTTTGCAGTGCTAAAAACAGTATTTCCTTAGTGTGGCTCGTACAATAGTTAGAAGCTAAATTTGTTCTACGACGATGACGGATGTAATTTTTAAACTTAGCATCGTCTAAGCTGTTGCGTTTAAATTTCAAAGTGCATAAAACTCTCGGTGTCTAGTTTAAATAGTTTGACATTAAAAAAAAATTAAAACGTCTACTTTATCCGTTCCCTTATTTATTGTTAAATTTTTTAAAGATATAATACCCTAAATATAGAAAAATATGTTGCAGAAATTGTTAGTTAAATAAAAGTAAAAATCCATACCCTTTGCTCTACAACCGTTTAAAAATACTAAAAAGCAATCCTTATATTCTACAATAGTTGTGAATAATTTGTTACTGTGTTTTTTAACTATGTATGAATTAAACATAATAATATTTAATCGACTTACTGATAATAAATATTTTATAATGTATATTGTTGCTTATTTAAATGATATAGGTTTTGTTGTGATTTGATTTTCGTTGTGAGCATGTAGCTATTTTCAAACGATCAAATCGGATCAGAGTACTAAATCTGATTCTCTTTACGTGGCAATTAATCAAAAAGCACTTGGAGGTAGCAAAGTTTGCTGTGTTCAAAGTAGTCTATATCTTTTCTATTCTGTTAATCTCCAGCATTCTCTATGGCGTCATTATTCTTTCCCATTTATTTAAGAAATAGTAAAAAGGAGAAGAAAAAGTACATGATCTAAAATTGACATTAAGCATGATGCTTTCTAGAGATTAACCATCTAATACCAATTATATCTTGTAGGATATTTATGATTTTTAACAAAATCAACACGCTAATCTGCCGTAGAGATCCTATATCCTATAGTATGTATAACGAAAATTGGACAAATCTATCCAAATGGTTTAATGGTTGATAAGTAGATGCATTACTGTGAATTCCCACTGGCCATAACATTCACATAAACATAAAATAATATAAAGTTAGGTAAGAATTTTTAACATTTTCTTGCTATAAAAATGCTTTTTGGTATTTGAATGTTAGTCAGTGGAAAAATCACGATAGGAAATGTTGTGAAACAAAAAAAACTGTGTTATTTACAGGTTTAGTTTAAATTTGGAAAAGCGTTAGATAAGCTTGTGTGGTGCTGTGTTTTGTGTTGATATGTTTTGTGTTGGTATATTTCTGTGAAAAAAATAGATTTTCTTTTTTTTAATTTTTATTATCAAAATCGTTCGTACGACTCAAAATATAAATATGTTAAATGTCTGGTAATAAATGAAGAAATATTTATGTATTCGTAATTATAATGTATTTAATAAAGCCTCGGTTAAAACCAGTGCTTTCCAAACTCTGATTCTATCCGAAAATCGAAATATTTTTCTGTTTTATTTAATTTAACAGATTTATTTCAGTACATTATTTTGAATTTATTCACGAATTTACTTTAATATAAGAATAAATATGAAATGAAGCTAAGAGTGTGAACATTTATATTTGGTAGTGGCTAAGAAAGTTTGAAAACCACTGGTACAGTGATTGATATTTACAATAAAAGTTATTATTGTTAATAGCTCTTACAGCCGCACTCAAAGTCGTTGATTGGTCACTAAGGGTGGTCTGTATTGGTATAGATTTCAGATAAATCTGTACTAAAAAGGCTACTTAACGACTTTGAAAGTCGACTTAAGACGTATGAATGAGTGTTCTTAATTGAAATATTTTCGAACTTTAGTCTGTCTAACATATAAGATTGTATTGTCAGTGTGTGTGTGTGTTACAAGTGACGCCGCACCCCGCAGGCTGTTCGCAGCATGCTGCTAGGAATGATCAGCGCACTAACATCATTTACCTGTTTCCGGGACTTCTTGATCATCGGCTGCGGCTTGAGTTCTTCGTCGGAGAATGCACGCGTTCGTGGATCGAAGTCACGACCAGATGACGCCATAGAGAATGCTGGAAATTTATATAAAACTACGTTAGATCACTATATTTATATGTTGTTTTGAAAGTTTACATCTTTTTGGGAAAAAGTGATATTAACTTTCACTGTTGTAAGTGACACTGATGGTGATTAATTTGATATTCTAGAGGATATACTGAAGTCTATTTGTGTTATTTTGTGACTTATCACGACATTATTTTGTTCAATCCAAGAAAGATTCTTATTACCATTAATACATTTATATAAATGTAGAAATGCCTTCCTTGAATATCACTTCAACGAGTTACTCTAGTGTATTGGATAATTGTTAGCGTAGGTGATCACTTAACTATTATATTATAGTAAATTGAAAAAAGTAGTATACTAACTTGAATCGGCGGGAGAAAGCGGCGGGTTGATGGTATCCGGGCTCATGCAATCAGAGGGCGAGGGCGAGCGCTCGCGTTTGGTGACGGGCGCCTGCAAGCCCAGCGTGAGGCCCGTGCCCGGCCCGAACGCGGAGCCACCGAGGTGGCCGCCGCCCAGGCCGTCACCGGGCATGCCATTCTCCGACAGGAACTCGTCTAGGTCCACGTACTGAAAACATCCAACGTTACGTGTCACAAATCGCACCCTCACCCTCTCGCACCGCCTTCACGGCAGCACTAGGGCGCCTTATTCGGTGCGAACAAACAATATTTATCGAGCATTACGCATACAAGGGAGAAACGCAACAGCAGATATAATTATTTTAAAACGATAACCACTTCGCAACATGGCGTTTAATTCGCAAATGTCATGTAACATAAGTATCAAGGACATACGACATCTTAAAACTAAGATCATAGGAAGCACAGCAGGACAAGAGTCGGCTGCATATGACAGCCACTCTATTACCTAGTGCGCGCAGCCGCTATCGAGCAGCCGGTGAGACGCACACGACACGCAACACGCAATAGGTAATAAAGTTTGTTGTAATACTGACTTGTTGTACCTTGAGATCGGGATCGTAGGGCAGGGTCTTGTCCCAGAGGTTGGGCCCGAGGAAGGCAGCTTGCGCCTCCCACAGCTCGTTGTCATCTTTCTTGTCTTCTAGGGTGTCCTTGGCGTTGACCGACTTGCCTGTAACAAGAAGAGCGTGTGCCGTGTGACTTCAAGGCCGTGGCGGCGCGCGCCGTCGTGCGCCCGACAACAGCGCGTGCCGCCGCTGACCGCACAGCTACTCACTCGGCACGGTAGCACGACGATCTCACAATACAATACAAGGATAGCAAACACAGAGCTTTGACAATAAACGAATGTTTAATTGCCTCAGTAGGAAAGTAGCGCATGCTACATATATATAAATGTTTGTATATGTAACACTACACATACATTCGAACATTCGCTGAGCTAAAACTCGCTTTGACATAATATTATATCGTCGCAACAGCTAGACAGACTCGCAGACAAGTGATCATAATAATGTATGTTTAAAAATACGAATAAAAAAAATGTGCATGAACATGCAATTGACGTTTTTGTCACAAGTTGTCACTGGAAGTGACCGTAGCAACAAAAATGAAAGTTCCTACTAAAAAAAATCATTACTTTTCTGATCTCTTTCATTATTCGGTCTTGTTTACAAAATACAAGTTGCGTTGGCATAAAATATCTATTACTTTTGTTCCAGCGACGGGAAATTAAACCTTTTAGTTGTCCAATTGCGAAACTCGCAAATGTTTATGAGTACAAAATGAACATCGATCAGACAATCGATGTCAACTTCATATTATACACGGAATATATTTCACAAAATGTACCAATGAATTTTATTAATCCAATTGATGCAATAAATGATAACAATCAGCATAATTTTGTAATACAATATCAACGTAAATAGAGTTCTACTTCTATGTTTTACTAATTATAGAAGCAGCTATAAAAAAACACATACACACAAACACACACACACACACACACACACATTTATACGTAGATCTAGAAAAAGGAATCGTACGAAGTAATAACACTGACGATAATGTGTTACATCTACGCCGTTACTTTACATGTAAGGTATAGATAATCATATAGGCTTATAACTACTTCGAGAGTCGACATCTGAGTCTAGTGGTTCAGCTGAATGTTTATCCGCCTCTCTAAGCTATTGCGATTCCCTGTTTTACTTTATCAGTATAAATCTATAACAGTTTTTATATAAATATTTTTGTTTGCAACTAGCAGTTGCACATATCTTCCCACACGCTCCTTAATTGTAAAAGTGAACTCACATAATTAAATGCCCATTCTACGGAGCCATCAGAATAGTCGACTAATCATAGTCTCGGATTTAGTAAGTAGTTATGCATTTTCTTTTAATTCTTTTAAAATAGTTAGAACAAATACTGTTATGTCTGTCTACCCCGTTGGATGCAATATTGTTTTTAAATGAACGTAGAAATCATTCATTAAGAGTTTTCCACAAAATATTTTATAATTGGTGTGAATTTAACTGTTCTAACTGTAGATTATATAGTAAGCAATGACGGACACTAGAGTGAATAGTTTTGTGTGGGGGGAGGTGGGAAGGGGGAGGGGGGGTTTAGTTGTTCACGTGGCCATTGTGGAGGGGGCTGGGCGGGGTGGTGGTGGAGGCGGTCGTACGGGCTCCTCACGCGGCACAACACGCGTCATCACTAACGGCCACGTGACCACAGTCGCACTTTCGGCATTTTTAATTGAATTTTTGTACCAGACAACAGTATTTACTGCAGATTGTTTATTAAATAACTAGCCATTGTTCGCGACATCGTCTGCGTCGAATTGCCTATTTAATTTTTAAGTTTTTGTGTGAAAAACAAAATATATTCCACAAAAATGTAGACCTTACCGGGATAAGATCTATTATTTCCTAGTTATCAGTTAGTAAATATCCAAACATTATTAAGAATTTAGAAACAATTATTTTCTTACCTTACTGACTTTACAAGTACGCGTATAGTAAATTTTTTATCTTTATATTATTTAAATATAAAAATGAACAGTTTTTTAAACAGAAATATTTTAGACAGGTACCTCCGTGGATATAAGGAAATCTTTACGCAAATGGAAAAACCTATTACGATCACACGTACTATATTGGTTACGATTATTTTAATATATTGTAACAACTTTATAACAAAGACAACAATAAATATAAAAGACGGGAAAAAAAATAAAAAAATAAAGTATAAAACAAGTTTTCAGTTCCAACCAATAAGATAAGTAAGCTTAAGTAAAACATTGCGCGTAGTTGTCAAAAAAGAAACTTGATAAGTTCAGAATTTGATACTCTGAACTTCAGATTTTAAGTAACAAAACCATATACAAATCAAACTCACAATAAAAGTAAAAACAAAGTTTGCTTAATCTTTTCTCTTATTAAATTTCATTTCGTCAAACTTATGACGAAAATATAGAAATACTTAATGGTACAATGAATACAGATCGCTACAAATTGATTATAGATAAAGTTAATTAGTGGTTGTTATAATTTCCTTGTTGAAAAAGTGGTATAAACTTTTTGGTGGGGAGACAAGTCGGTGCAGGCGGAAGTGGGAAGTAACCTAGTTGTGTTACGTGCACCGCCACGCTTTCCTACGTTCCGCGCCGCGACACGCACGCCTCTATTGCACAACTCACAACATAAGAGTTTTCCTCCAACAACCAACATTCTAATCATTAATTAATTCATTACGCTATGGAAAATATTTATCGACGCTCCGAGCAACCGTGAACATTACAAACAAGGAACAAAATACTGCGTACTTTTATTAATTTATTTCAAAATAGAAGAAGTATTAATCGTCTGAATATTACTTATATCTGTTATAATACTTCAAAACTTTGCTTTTAATGAACCGATTTTGAAGACTCTTTAGTTTATATCAAAGCAAGTCATTGTTATGTCATCCCATTTTTATTTGGTCGAGATCTGTCGGTTACTGTTTGAGTTATTTGTAATAAAAGCATTAGCTAATTGAACGCTATTTTAAACTTTTAAGCTTTTATTACGCAACATTAAATTCAATGAAATAACGTCGATTGAAAATGATTTAGTCACAAAGGATTAAAGATTGCCAACACTGTGTTAACTTTATTATAATTGTTTAAACTTTCTTTAACAGAAATGATGTAAGTATTTATTTAGTTACGAGATACAGGAAAATCAATAACTGTTGAATGGGTATTCCTAGATAGTCACAAATCTTTACATCTTGGAGTCTGAGGAATGGATTGCAGTTATGTATTGACGTGAATATACCAGGATTTAACGTGCTACTATACGTTTAGTGTTTCTATTATTAAAACACTTTGGAACAGAACTAAACTATTCGAATTTAGTAAAAAAAACGAAACATATATCATATATCGAATAAATGATGTGAATAAAATGCTATGACATAGTGGAGTTTCTATGTGAAATTGCGAGACAGAATTTGAAGAATTGGTCGAATTTTAAAGAATGGTACATGTCTTAGGAACAATACAAAGTGAGGGTAATGATACACAGCTGAGGGATGCAAGTGGGACGATCGGTTGTGCCGGTTGTGGCGGCTGAGTCGATTGTATCGGCTCGCTTCCGGGGCCGTCGGCGTGCGCTCTCACTTTCATCGAGCAAGAGAAAGTCGGTGCGATGTCGTCACCGCGATACTATGCAAACTCAATCGACACCATCCCCCCCCCCCCCCCCCCCAGCACTAGTCACCAACCTTTTGGTAAAGTATTCCCTTGTCACACAGCCTCAGAATTTGTGTCCGAAACTACTCTAAAAATATTAAACAAATAAAATAACTAACAGCCGTGCTCAGAGTCGTCACTAACTAAGGGAGAAATTTAGTGTAGATTTATTGGTAAGGAAGTGCACTTAACAATCTTATGTGCAGGATTAATAATTATTCGAATGTCATATCTAACTATGTACCTTTCGGGTACCTATTACTACTAGTTCGTAAGTGAAAAGTACAGAACACCTTTATTTCGCAATAGCTCGGCGATGTTGGCTTCTTTCGTATAGTAGAAAGTTATTATAATTCAAATGAAATTTAAATAAAAAGTATCGTTAGCCAATCCACGAGGTAATAGTAAACTTTCAATAAATTAAATGATAGCGCCGACGGTTTATTCCGTTGAATGAATGAACAAAAAATCCGAGGCAAATTCGACAGTTTGTAGCACCTTATGTCAGAGAAAGTATTGTCGACATGAGCGGCGCGACCACTCTCACTTTCTTTAGTCTGTGGAAGAAAGCGGTGGCCACCCGAATCGCTCTCAGCTTTGCTATCCGATCAGTCGAAAGTTGAATTCGGAATATTCATTTGCAAATAAAACTATAAAACATTGCTTAATAACAAGGATTTCATTTCGTTGTATGACCTTTTGAACTTTGTAAGTGTTTAGTAGTCACGTACATTGTCTTAAGATGATACTTAATATCTACATACATCTTTACCAACTTAAACAAAAGAAATTTATTTCGTGTAGAATACGCGGTATTACATATGCGTATTATTCACGTAAAAAATTAAAACAGATGTGAAATTAACCAAGAGACTATTTGAAAGAAACAGCAAAACTAATATTGGTTTGAAAACTATTCTAACTTATTTTACCACAAACATTTTGTTGCACTTCAAATAGAAAAAGGGGAATTTAGGATGACCTGAAGATTATGTTGATATCTTCGAAAATTAAATACGTTATCCACGCATGAAGGTGTGTTTGAAACAGAAATAGACATTCTGAGTAATAAATAAAGCAGGATAAAAAATGTATTATAGCAGTGGGTGTGTTGTAAATAATAATGCAAGTAGCGAAGCGCGATTACATTTTAATTGATCAGCGGCGACGTGTGCGCAGGCGGCGATGTGTTGCGGATTATTGAAAGTGCAAGCGAACGTCAGTCGAATGCGCGAGCAAGCGGAATGCTGAGCGGGTGTTGGAAAGCTGTTGCGCAACCATTACTCCGCACTTCCTACTCGGGAAATATAGGTGAGGAGTGTGCTGCTAGTCGTCCGCGGCAGAGATTGGGGGGGGGGGGCTGAAGCTGCAGCGGGGGACGTAACGGGAAGTGGCTGCGCTTGCGCAACGGAGAAAGCCGGCGT